CTCTCTCTCTCTCTCTCACAAACACACATACATAAACACACACTCGTTTGCTCACTCACATAATAGCATCGTGTTATTAAAATACCATCTGATGCTTGTTGCTTCTGATGCAAACCTCAACAAATAATTGTATTTATATATTTTTGAGCAGCAGAGTTACTAAATTAGACCTGGATGATTTGGAAACAGTAAGTGGAAGGAAGTAGTAAGTGTAGCTTTCAGTTGACCTTACTGGTGAAAGTTAATGCAAAAAAAAAAAAAAAAGGCGATAAGCATCTTGGTTTTCTTCATACCTCATTGAAAGCTTTATTTCTGTACTGAATAACAAGTCAACACATTCTTTGGTCTTACTCTTATTAATATTTGCAGGCTAATATTGTGTTATCTTTGTCATCTCTTGCTAGTTATATTTTTATCCTGGACTTGACCTTTTCTGGTTGTGTCCTTGCATGCTATGCTCTGTTAGACTTATCATTAGCAATCAGGCTGTCTGCTTTTTCTATATGCTGCTTCATTGTATTTGAGCTTAATGAAGAGCTTCTGAAATAGCCAGATTGATCCCCTATTGCATTGCCAATCCTTCTCTCTCATCAAGGGCATAATTGTAAAATATCCTAATATCACTTCTTTAAGATAAGTGCCAATTCACCTGTATTCCTGTGACGCGCCACTAGAGGGGCATCCGGGATTCTTTCGGATTCTGGGGTTAGTTGCGCTGAACTCGAGAGATCATCTTTTGTCAGATGTAAGAATTTATTAGATCTAAGCAGTTCTACAGATATGACGGACACTGGACAACACTAAACAATTAACAACAGACAATCTACAAGTGTAACAAAGCTAAGAAGTATAGTAAAGAATTAAAACCAGAGCAGACTACACATATTAGAGCTCTATGGTTAAGCCACGGAAGCACAGTACAGTGACTGTTCTTGGATGCACGGTATAATGACTGCTCTCGCCTTGTCCTTATGGGCCACCCCTCCAGTATAGTTTTCCCCGGGTTATTCTCACCGCGCTCGAGCTGCGCCAAGAGGATTCAGGTTCTCCCTGGCACTTGACGTCAGGGGTGTCCCCGCTGATGGGTGGGTTGTCGGGTCTGCAGGCCAGCTGACGGTGAGTCCGAGTCCACATCCACACAGAGGTATGTGGCTTACTTCCTTTTATCCTTCCTGGGCTTAGTTCATTATTCAGTCAATCAGTGCCAGACCATGGTTGAACAATGGAACAGATCGCCTCAGGTGATAACAGTATGGATGCCAACAGGATGGTCAACAGAATGCTTAGCAGTACGGTCAGCAGCTATCGGTGCACACGTTCAGCAGCTGTCAGTGCGTGCATGCAGAGGCTATTAGTACACACATGCAACAGCTATCAGTACGAAATTCCAGGGTACCTAGATGCTTACAGTGAGGGTCTGTGGTGTCACTTCTCCTTTGCTGACTAGGTTTGCTCTGCACTCATGAGGCTATGGCAACCCCACAGTGTGGTGGCTCTGGCCGTGGTGCACCCGGGGTTCCTCAACTCTTGGGGAGCACCCCAGAGCAAACCCCTCTTCTACGGGCTGCACCATCCTGAGTCCCACGGTTGCCTGTGTGGCGCCTATCAACTCCTTTTCCGTTCCTCCTTAGGTTTTCCTTTTCTGTGCAATTTTACCAACTAATTTTCTTAGACAATTGAAGTTTGCCTCCTTGATGAACGTAGGAAGGAGAGTGAAGAGTAAAATAAAGACTGAGAATGACAAAACAACCCAAGTTTCCTTCCAGCCCAGCTTTCTCCTAATGTTTCTTCCTGTTTACTAGAAGAAAAATCTGGAAGAATTTCATTTTTAGCTGTTTTTTTCCTGCCTGCTTTATCTGCCTGCTCTAGCAAGGGTGTGTTTTATACTCTGGCTGTACTGTTGTTACTTCTGGGCAAGTGTTTGTATCTTTGATGTATAGGGCACAGCTTCCTCCTCGCCCCTTGGCCTGTTCTTTCTAAACAACTATTTCTTTTCACAGTAAGATTAGAGAATGGGGATGAGATGGGTTTTCAGTATAATCTACTTGTGCAGTTTTACTGAGGAGTGTAATTGGGACTTTGGTACCCCATTAGTACCAATGGATGGCATATGTGCTTTGACATAACAGGAAGTGATTGTATCTGTATGATTTCATTCTTGCCTCCCCAAGGACATTGGGGATTTCAGGTATCCTTGACTCTGAGTGGCTGCACCAGATCTTGTTCACAAGTGCTGGTACTATGTAAGCTATAAGCAATTACAAAGAAAAGATTTTTTTTTTCTTTTTTTCTGGATTAATCTGCATTTTGCTACCTTTGAAGCTGTAATGCTCCTACTTAAGAATTTGGTCTACTATATTTTTATATTAGCAACTAGGAAAAGTAGCTGAACAACTTGTTTTCCAGTGGCAGGGCTGTTATAGTTATCCTCAACGTATAAGTAGATTATTAATGCTTGCCCTATTATTAAAAATAAAGCATGCCTGGGGCAGTTTTTTCATATATATATTAAAGTCTGATTTAAAAGAAAATTATGGTCTGGATTTTTGTAATCTTTATTTTACCCTGTCGTATTAAAAATGCATGGAAAACATAGAACTGTTCAAATACCACAAAGTTGGGCCGACTACAAGAAGCTAGACACATTAATACAAGAACTTTATACTCTGTCAGTAGCCGAGCAGCCAAAACTAATTATTGTGCCTTGAAACAGAATAGTGGAGATTTTTTGCTTCATCAGGAGCCATCATGAGGCTGTTATTCCATTCTGCTTTTCTGTCTGAATTTGAGTGCCCAGCATGCTCAAGTAACTCTCTAGTTGGGGCTTGCTGAAAAACGCTGCGTGTTATCCCATACCAGATGATCCTGATAGTCCCCTTCTGTCTGGGCCTGCATAGGGATGGATATAAGAAAGGATTTTGCTGGCTTTACAGATGCTGAGAACTTGCTTTATGCCTCAGAATAATAATTAAAAGAACTCTGTAGAGTTGTGCAAAATTGGGGGGTAGGGCAAGAGGTCTGAGAGGTCTGTCTTAATATATTTAACAACATGGATTGTCTTATATTTCATATGTAACTATCAATATGCCGTATCCATCAGGCTGTGGAAAAGCTTTCTGCCAGGTATCTCCAAAGTTAGGCAACTGTCAAACTTTCATAATTCAGAAGCTGTTTTCTAAAAGAGTACAAATTAGAGTTGTAGCTTAGAAGACCACTGATGAGAGTTGCAATAGAGATTTTACCACAGGTTAGTGAAACCTGTCTGTCCTGACCAAAGGAGAGAGAAATCCAACTAGTAAAATATAAATAAAAACATCATATGTGGCTACTTTTCTGTAAGTTACAAATTACAAAAAATATATATATTTTATGTATGTATTATCTAGAGTAGGAGAAGCCCTTACAGTTACATGCCAAACAGATGAATGTATAGAAAACGAACAAGAATAAAATATAGAATATTATTTTTAATTAGTTTTGCTTTTCTGTTTGCTAGCTAATCTGTACTTGTGAACTACCTAGCTAGTCAGCAGTTGCCAGTTTTCAAACTGGATGCTTTTTTCATTTGCCACCAGGCACACGAGGGAGGTCAGAATATTTTGGCATAACGCTCAGGAACACTGGAGTAAGCATAAAACTATGTGGAAGAAATCTGAGTGTATCACACTGACTGTACATTGAGGATATAAGAAGGAATTGGCTTTATTTTATGTGATGCGAGATGACAGTGGAGACTGAATGGTTGTAGGTATTCCTGTGGCAGCGATTTGGAGGATGTGGAGAGGATTCGACAGTGTTGCCATGAAGTATCTAAGAGGCATCTCTAGGACATGAGGCTCTACTGGCTTTGCAAGTTGCAGATCCCCTCTTTTTACTTGTGTATCATATTATCTATGTATCATATTATACGTACTTTGAAAAAGTGGAAAAATTTTCACATACGAACAAAAATCTACATTAAAACAGGGATATGGGTTAAGGTCATCCTTCCTGATTTTAAAGGAAAATATAGTGTGCTGTAATGACTATATGATCAGGAAGCCCAGGATGATCATTGGATAAGGCACTGTAGCAAAGTTTCATTATCCTGTCATCTACAGCAGTGGAACCGCTATTAAATACCTTCATATAGTATGTTTTCCTAGTGGATATCTACTATGTATTAATATTTTATTAAAAGGAAGAAAAAGAAAATCCGTAAGTGTTCTGAAGTGATGGACCCATTAACTTATTGGACTTGGATAACATTGGAATGGAAAGTTTTCCCTAAAACTCACTATTATTATTTGGCCTTTTGTAGTTGGCATCTATTTTTATTAAATTGTTAACAAAAAGATACACTACATATTTAATAATTTCTAGTAAGATTAATGTATCATCTAAAATCAGAAGTAAACAGCCAGAAGAGGCTTTAATAAATCTTAGAATCTTCTTCATATTAAAAATACGTTATTTTCTAATATTCCTCTTTACTACTGTTTTTTCCTTTTACTACTGAATTCACAGATGGCATAGTACACCTACTTTAAAAATCAAGTTCAGCATTTTGAATAATAAAAACATACATTTAAGTGAAATTAGTTCCAATATTTTGTTCTTCCTTTCAGTGTTTGAGCTGTTTCTCTGTCCTACTTGTTTTCCTGGTTTTAGAAATGAAATATGCCTAACTGGAATAAGTACTGAGTTTCTAGTTGTATTTTCTCCTTACCTATTCACTGTTGGATTATATAGAAGATGATTGTTAGATAGATTGTTCTCCCCAAATCTTTTACCAGTCCAAAAATGTTTTTAAAAACTCACAGCTTTATGAAAGTGGTATTTTTATGAGAGTGATGGATGTTGTGCTTTTACTCTAAGAGTAATTTATATCTTCTTTTTCTGAGAAAATCCACGTTGCAAAAAAGCCTCTTTGGAGATGGTTAGTGAGAGAAAGGTCCAAAATGCATACTTGAATATTGTATGTTGGGGGTTTCTTAATGACAATTTGTCTTGTTTCTCAGCCATATTATGTCTGAATACGTAAGGATGACGGATACAGAGCGTGATCAGATTGATCAAGATGCTCAGATATTTATGAGGACGTGTGCAGATGCCATTCATCAGCTGAGAACAGAAGGTAAACTGAGGAACTGCTACATATTTTTTCTTGGTTACTGATAAGACCTAATATAATGCTAAACATTGGATGATATTTTAGAATCTGAAATGCTTTTGGAAAAGCAGAACAGTAAAGTCTGTTTTCTTTTTTGTTTGCGCCTGCGTAATCCCGTTGACTTGGTTAGTGCTATACTTGATTTATTTCAGTGTTAGTTGAAAGGAGAAGCCAGCCCATAGAATTTTATTTGTTCAAATACTCAAATACACTAGTTAGTGTGAAAATGATACGAGTCTTAAATATTTACTATTTAAATAGTAATTCAGCACTGTGGCACAGAGACTTTGACAAGCTAGAAAGAGACAACTATAGATTTTTTTTTGAGTTTTGGTTCATCTGTAATGCATTAAAAATATACACTGTCTTCCATGTTTGGGATAATCAAATCACTGAATGCAATGGAATAAATTCTATGTCATAGTTCTTTAAAGATTTTAATCAAATACAAACATTTTCTTGAATTGATAAGTTTAGCTCCTAGAAATTTGAGCAGTAGCAAAAGACAGAGCTCAGTGGTCGTTCTGGCAGTAAATATTGTATGTTTCCCTCTTCCCTCCTCCCCTTTTTTTTAAACAGAAAATTTACCCAGGATAGCAAGAGACATCAGTTTCATTATGAAAAAGTACTAATGCTTTTGCTTTTCCTGATGTGGCTGTTGAACGTAGGCATTTTTGACAACTTGAGGATGAGGTGAAACGTTTACAAAACCATCTTATGGGAGTTCGAGAGCTAACTTCTATTTTGCCATTTTCAAACTGAATTGCTTCATGTGTGTGTTTTTTCAGTATCTGAAGATGAATTTTGAATTACAGGAGAAGGAAAAAATACTTCCACTGGTAATTCGTTGCCTTCAAAATGAAGGCACTTATTGGGGATGAGACTAGAACGTAGAGTGTATCCATCCTTTTTGTAAATTTCAATTTACTGCTGTGTCACGTGGAAACACGCGGTACGTTTCCTAGAAAGTAAGCCTTCTGTCAGCGTAGCAGCGTGGGCTAAGTACACCCAAGATTTTCGTCAGCTTTGAAATGCCGTTCAAACATATTTGCAGCGTGATTCAGAATCATTGAAAGAAATTCATGCTTAAGAACTTTGTGGTATCAAAATAAGGCACTTTATGAATTAAAAGGCTGCTTGACACAATACAAATCAAATGTATATAATCTAAATACTGGAGAACTTGAAATGCTAGAATTTCAACATCCTAAGCAAGCCAAGTCTCTAGATCTGTTTTGCCATGCTTAACTTGATGGCATCTCTTCTTGTTTGGAAATTGTAGACATAATATGACTTAGTGGCGCATGTGAAGAATAAGCCTTCAAGAATCAATAAAATAGAGATTGTATGACACTAAGTGGTTTAGGGTTTTGCTGTATGGTAATAATTTGCTGTTTTACAGATCTATAGTTAAAGTATAGCTATGTTAAAAATATATTAAATGTTAAATAGGCTATTGAATTCAGCTTGCCCATAAACTAAAAAAGCAGACTTTTGTTTAGCACAATATGAAGTTAACAGTTTATGTCTGTCTTTTGCATTTCAGCACACAAGGATGTCCAGTCTGCTCAGGTGAAGGAGCACAGAACAGCTGTCTTGGACTTCATTGAAGATTATTTAAAAAGTACTTAACGTGTTTTTTCTGCAATGTTGAATGGTTAAAAATGAATGCTTGACTGGTGTTTCCAAGAAAGAAATCACGCTGTTCTGACCTTAAATTTTGTTTTATGGTGTTTTGAACAGGAGTGTGTAAGCTGTACTCTGAACAAAGAGCCATCCGAGTTAAGCGAGTAATAGACAAGAAGAGACTGTGAGTAGTGTGTCCTCATTGTCAAAAAAAAAAAAGTTTAACTGTACCCTTAGTTTATAGAAGGTTCAAGGGAACAATTATTCATGTTTAGAATCTAATGAGATTCCTTTAGATGGAAATCCGTAGTTGGACATTCCACTTCCACTCTCAGCAGGTGCGTTCCAAAGCTCTCTTGTGTTTCCAGTATGTGGGAAGTTGTCTGTAAATGTCAGAATGCTAATATATACTGTTGTGTTTTTCATATATGTAAATGGTTAAACCACCAAATCAATAAAATACGGGTTAATAAACCTGTTGGAGTTCTACAGAGAGATCAAAATGCTTCCATATGTTCCGTTAATAATAATCTGTGTAAAATCGAGTGTGGAATCCTGCACATTTATAGCATGCCTCAAAGATGTTGTTCAGGATACCAAGATACCATCTGTTTAGGTACAAGAAATGTTCACTTTTCTCTCATTCTCTCTCTTTAAAGCCACCACCTTTCTCCTAAAGCAAGTGATTAGATTGCGAATACATGCTACTCGAAATGGTGGGGGTTCATGCTGTGTAGAAACCTGATAAAAATCAAAACTTTTTAATTGAAAGGAAGCAGTTTCTGCTTCCTATCATCATGGCATACATTCAGACCGCTAACCTGGCGGTAAAAAAGTCTAGGAGAAATTGAAGATATGTGCTAGCTTTTTTGTCTATTTTTTTTCTAGCCAAGTATCCAAAACAGAGCATTTAGCAAGTTTCTTCTGCTGCACACTGTCAGGTGTGAGAGTGACAGTGAGTATGCACAAGCTTGCAAGCTTGTAACTTCTTTAATACCTTAGAAGACCTCTTTTTTCTTCTCAGTCTGCAGTATTTGAACTCTAGCCTGAAGTTCCCTTACAGGCATTCTCCTATAAAAATAAGGAATTTTATAACACATACATCAACGGATAAATTCTTGAGTATATTTCCAGGAACTGATGCTGCTCAGTTTGGTGTTTGACAAGATCAGCTATTTACATTAAAACTAGAGAGATGTATTCAGAAATCCAGAAAGGAAGTACGCTTTACTCGGAGTGATTCAGCATGATTGAACATAATTGAATTCACTCAAATTTCTCCTCCTGGCACATGAATAATAGGAAAAGCCAAAAACAATGAACAAAATGTACTAAACCAGCTTTGAAATTTGGTAAGAAGTAAAGTAATTATGAAAGAAAAGAAAGATAAGCCCTTGCTAGTCTTTAACTCCTGTAACTTTTCAGGAAAAAAAAATATAGAAACAAACTGTGTGATATTTTTTGTGCGCAAGAATGCGTAACCTCATCAGTATTCTTCATGCTAAAGAACTTCAAGGGAAGATAGCATGGTCTCTGCAGTTATGTAGTTGGCTAACAAGTATCAGCTATTCTGTTTGCTGTGCTTCCGCTACTGCTTGCATATGAAATCCCAGTTTCAAGTTTTCTCAGAGGGCTACACGGGGGGGGAGTCAATCTGATGTACGCTAAACATAGAGCAATGAAAAAGAGCTATGTCAGAAGTTAAAATATCACTTAATTAAGCAGCAATAAGGCATGAAAAAATAACCCAAAAGATGCAGTTCCTGTATGTAATATTGAAGGATACTTGTATGCCTCTTATGTACAGATACGAGAACTAGAAAACAGATGTTAGCCAGGTGGAGCCCGTATGCATTGCAGATGTGATGTAATGGCTAAATTGCCATTTAAATGAAAATACAATTTTAATAAATCATGAGGTGTGAATCAATTTTTCTGATGACTTGAAGAAATATTGTCATCTTTCATATGTCTTCAGCTAATTGATTTTGTAATTTCCCCAAGAATTTCAGTAGATACTTTATGTGATAATAAGTATATATTCTGTCACTTAAATGAAGGAGGGTTTCTTTAAGTAGTTCATTTCAATTAAAAATTAATAACATGCCTGCAAACTTTACGTTAGTATATTGTGGAAAGTCAGGACAACAAACAATAAAGGAGTACATATATTTTAAAATAAATTAAAAAATAGATCAAGCGCAGATCTTCTTTCCTGCAATTTAGTCAACATAAAATATATGCTTGTTAGACAATACGGAAAGATTTGCCGTAAAAATTTACTTCATTGTATTTCTTTTTATATAGATAACATTCTAAATTCTTCAACTAATTGCCTGAGTGTTACAATTTTCTTAAGTAATATAACTTACCTTTATGTGTTAACTCACCTTTTTTTGGTAAAAATGTCTGCCAGTTACATTGGACTGGTTCCCAATAACGAAGTCTTGAGAGCAGAAATGCACCCAGTTTTTTCTGTAAAGGTATCTTGTTGCAACGTTTTTATGCTTATGGATATTCAAAGTTAACATTTCATTTCAAATTGTAAGCTGCTTTTCCTGCTAGAATTTCTGATGAATGATGTGTGCAATTCTTAAAAAGAGAACATAGCTTTTATTCCAATAAAGCTGATTTTTATTATCTAGGGAATTGGCATTTTATTAGTATCAGAACTATTATTTGAAGTGCATGGGCCTCCAGAAAAGTCTTTTTTTTTTTCTTTTTTTTTTTTTTTGTCCTCAGTGTTAGTAAAAATTTAAGACTTGAGGCAGGGGTAGATAAGAGGATTTTTTGTGAATTTGCCCAAACCTTACCATTATAACTAAGAAGGATTCCTTGTTACCCTTCATCTTGTTGAAATTCAGTAGTCACTCAGTGATGACTAATGCATTATATTCTGTTTTCCCCTCAACGTTTTCTAATTAACAGTTAGAATTTAGACACAATAAAAAGAAGAAAAGGAACACAAAATGCAACACCTTCTGTTAAGCAGCAGGGGAAGACTGCAGATCATAATGAGATTAACTGCTGATTATATTTGGGAGGGGAGGAAGTGATGAAGGTGGCACAGCAGGTGATTCAGCCTGTCACTGTTTTTCAATCCTTTGTGTTCTTGAGCTGCAAATTTTCACCAACCTTCCAAAGTCTTAGTGTGTTCCTTAGCTTCTCTAATAGCGCAACTGGTAGGCATTTAAGTATCTACTGTATAGCTGTTAGAGAGTTCATTGTAGGCAAAAGTAAACCACAGTAGTCTACTGAATAAAACATATTGCTATTAATCTTAAATCTTTTGGTGCTTTGGTGAAACAATTTACTTTATAATCACTGAATATGCTTACCACATTTTGTATTGACTTATTATTAAAATTATGTGGCAGGGTTTTAGATGTAGTATGTATCTGTCCATTGCATACAGTTCTTCTAAATGATCTGTTGCATCTTTTGGCAAAAAGGGTAAGGATCAGTTTCATTCTGGTTAAACCATTCTTGTTAGCTAGTTGACTAAAAATATTTGTTTCCAAAGTAGTTCATTTTGTTGTATTTTATAACTTTTCGATGTTAATTGGCAATATAAAGCAAGATTGTAAATGTTACTTGGAAGAAAAAGTAGTAGAGTTGTCTATTGCTACTAAAAACTTTCCGGTATGACTGGACTGTTTTAGGAAGAAAAAACACATAACATTTGATATTTTAACACACTAGGTTTTGGAAAGGAAGTTTTAATAAAATATCTGTATCTTTATGCTATCACCTTCAAAATTCTCCTCAACTCTAAGCGTGTAATGTGTTTTATTCAGAAGTGTTCTTCGTGCTTTCTTTGCTTTCGTAATAATATCTGGTGAAAGTTGTAAAGTACCTTTTGTATCTTGGTTGGGAAATTTTTAATGAGAACTTTGCAAGGCCAGGTTAAAGTTTGTTGAATTTTTAAGTAATTGGTGGTGGTTCCCATTTTAGAGCAATCCAGTTGTATAAAGTCATTTAAAATACAGGTTCCTGTGCTTCTAGGTCCAGACTTGAACCTGAGCAGAGCAACGTGTCCAAATCGCCTCTTTCCCCTGAAAAACTTTCACAGAATTCTTTAGATGATTCTGAAGAAAAGCTTTCTGCTGAGGAAAGCAACGGTAAGAAGAAAATCTAGTTAGATTTTATTTGTGGCAAGCACTGTCCTCCATTCAGTAGTACTTTCTTCATATTGCAAGGGCTACTATAAGGCTTCTTCCTGTGACTTGCAGTTTTTTATTTTCTTTTCCCCTGGCTTGATCAGGCTTTTGTGAAGTGCGTTGGGAGACTGAGGAGGAAGAATCTTGAACTTTGGCACGTTTCAGGTGCACTCTCCAACCAGCTAAAAAAGACTTCTGGTGTCTTGCTGGATTGCCTCTTCCTCACAATAATCTCTATGTGAACTTTCCTCTTTATTTAATTTTTTTTTTAGTGTCCCTCTATTATATGTGTTCTGAGAACTGTCTAGATTCTTTTCACTGATGGAATGAAATTGGAAAGTAGCTCAGCTGCCCTCTAGGAACGCTTTCTGGTATTTAAGCTTGGAGATTTTGAGTTGGGCACCTCTAGAGCAGGATTTGGAACACAAAGGTAGAACGTGCTTGTAGAAGGGAGGTTACTTGGAGGCCAGATCCAGTAACTTAGGGAACGTTTTTCTCTGGAGCGTTAAATCTCCTTGCTGGAAAGATTGCATCTAGTGTTGCAGTAGGCAGGAAATATTCCAAGTCCAAAGCAGTATCTCTGATCACAGTTCATTTTTAGCTAGTGCTGTTCTTGATAGTACTTGTGAATGTCGGTTGTGATTCCCTAAAGGCCTGCTTGTGTCGCTGTGGGATACAAGTCCCTTCTCTCACCTATTTCTCAGAGTGGCCCTTTGGTCTGTTTTGGGATGTGTAAAGTGACAGAACTTCCTTGCCAGGTGCCTTTCTGAGAAACAGCAATGCGCAGGTTCAGGTTTCATGCCCGAGGAGAACTCTTGTTTCTGGGATTCCAGCGCTGCTTTCCCTGGCTTGAATTCTGCTGTCTGCTTGTCTAGGGGAGCCTGAAATACGATGCGATTACAGTGTGAAAATTTTTTCGGATAGAAACAGAAAATGTGTGGAACGTGACGTTACGTGAAGATACTGCTTTGTCAAGTCGGAAGAAATGCACTGAATGGGCTTATTATTCTGATCATCGGTTATTTTTTTTGTTTGTTTGTTCTTTTTTTTTTTTTTTTTGAAAGCTTTTTCTAGGTAATGACTTTAGGGTCACACAGAGGGTGGATTTATATGAAGTGGGTCCTCCGTTTCTGGATGATGACTCTAATACTGAATTACTTCCCAATGTGCAAACCATTTCATTTTCTGATATGGCTTTGCTTATCTACCTAACCAGTTCATACTTTGGCAGCCCTATCAATATGCTTCCCCCCCCTCCCCCAAGACAGACTTTACTGTAAGAGGGAAAGGTTTTGATTGTGTGTCATTTCTAGAGCACGCTACATTTTTATAGTGTGTCGAAGCGATGCAGAACACAGACGCATAGATGAGTTTCACCTTAACCACGTTATCAGTGTTTCGCAGCTGTGAGCTGCGCCAGCAAAGAACCAGCAGTCCAGGAGCATCCTCGTAGTCCTGTTTCCTTGTGACTGAACGTCTCTACAATCTCTGAGGGCGTGCACTGCCACCGCACAAAAGTGTCATTACAGGTTTCAGCTCAGAAGTCTGGGCCACACCATGGGAAACAGTGTTCCTTGGGCGCCTTGGGCACAGGAAACCACTGCAGTAAACAGAAATGAAACATGGTTCATCACGTGTCCTGTTCCGTAGGTGATGCTGATGCAGTACTTGGGAGGGGACGCTGACTAATCTTTGAGAAACTGTGGAACTTAAATATCAAAATAAATCTACCTGAAATAACTTGTAAGCGCGTACAGTATGTGATTCCTCTCTTATGTGTAAGCGTTGGTTGCTGCTGTTCATAGAAACCAGCCTCGTGGCCTCACTGGTAGAGATCTGCTGAAGAGATGGTAGTAACGTGAACATGATGACCGGAAAGCAGAAAGCTTAGTTTAAATGTTACAGTCTTTGTTTGTTCCCCCCGCCCCCATCCCCAAGTGACTTTCAAATTTTTAAGAAGTTGGAAAAATTATCATGTTTAGAAATAAGCTATTTCATCCTCTGGTGCTCAGTGGTTTGGAGAATGGTGATCATTTACATTTATGAGCTCTCTGTCTCCAGAGCGCCTGGGTCCCTTGCGTAACTATCTCAGCTGCAAAGATAACTCTTCTGAGAGTAGCTTGGGGGTCTTGTAAAGCTAGTTTTAGTTTGACCATTACGGCGAATAGCTGAATGTTTTACTCAGAGTGATGAAGCACACAACTTGGGGGTTTTTTTGTTTGTTTTGCTTTTGGGGAGCAGAAACCAAAGCAAAATGTGATTGCTTTTACTTTGAGACAAAACGCTTGTTTACATTAGAGTTGTACTGAACGTGCCTCATTGCAGGAAAATATTCTCTCTGGAGTTTGTTTTTATATGCTGTCACTCTTTATTTGCATATTACAAATTGGCCACTTAGTTTATGGAAATAAATGCAAATAATGAGTAGCTTTTGAACTGGCCGCTAGCTTAGCGGCTGTCTCATTTCAGCACAGAAAAGGGTTTAGATTATTTGATTGTTATTTTACGTCTCCATCATGCATTAACTACTTTTATTCCTGCAAAGGAAATGGAGTTAACTGTTTTTCCTTCGTCTGGCTTTTAGTGGATGAGTTGTAGAAAAGCTTTAATACCAGCTCCAGGAAAGCTGCAGATACCCTTGCGCGGTAGCTGGAGTGACCCCGGTGACAAGAGTAACTCTGGGGAGATGCGTGTGTTTCTCACTTGCCTCTTAACCATAAGTGCAGTTGCTTATTAGCAATCACATTGGATGCAGGTGCTGTTGCTTAACAGTGCAGACAGTGCGCGAAAGTAATTGGTTCCTTTGGGATGAGGAAGGAATATATATTACTACTTTGCTCCATAAACTAATTATCGTCTTTTCTTTGAATCAAGTAAATAATTCATTATAATTTTGGTGTAGCATAAATACATTGGTTACCTGAAGAAATCAGTTTTGTATCTCTGTGAAATAGATTTGAAATACTGATGATGCCGCATGGAAAACAAAGAGTTATAACCTTTCTTAACAATATTTAAAAATAATCTTACAAATAATAAGGAATAAAAACAAGAAATAAAAGATTAAAAAAACCAATCAAACAAACAAACTTATATTCCTTATTCTTCGTTCCTTATACTTCATTTATAACATTATCCTGGTTTGGTTGTTGGGATGTAAAAGGTACTTTTGTAAAAGAGAAATACATAACAATACTCTTTTATAATATTTATTTTTCAGGAGCTTCCCCTGATATTTTAATGATTAAGGGGGAAATTTCTCCCTGTAACACTTTTCATATAAACAGGAGTAGTTTCAGGGGCTTCCCAAGAAGTCAGTAACTGAATGACGATGCATCAGTGCTGCTTATATAATTGAAAGAATTTAGGTTTAAAAGGTTGCAACAAAGCAAATAGAAATATATGAAATGTAGGCCTGAAAAAAATGACTGTGATAAATAGCAGGTTTGAAATCTATGAAAAAGTAAAAACTGAATTTTTTCTATTTTAATTTCTAATTTGCGTCCAGTAATTCAAAGTAGGTACAGCTTTGAATCCATTGCGGGACAGTACAGATCCGTATTCTGAGTTTTGTAAAAGTGCCACAGCCAGTGGGGAAGAGAGAGGCCCTCACAAAATTACGGTCATAGCTTTGGGATTTTAAACACTGATGCTAAAATAGCTTCAGAAAGAGTAAGTTCCTGTAGGATGGTTTCTTTTCTTTCCCATTTTAACTTTTTTTCTCTCTATAATTAGAAGTATATAATTAATCCTAAAAATAAAGCTTCCAAAAGAGAATATCCTAGAAATAGCCTTTCGAGATGTCTTATGCCCCACTCCTGCTAAGAATTATGCAGATGATTAGCTTTAATCAAAGGAGAAGTGCTATCGCAATCAATAAAGCAGCTAAGATGTGCACATGTTAGGTTATGGGATCAGATCTCGCTCTTGTTATGCCCAGGATGACCCGCTTGCACAATGAGCTGTAGGATTTGCACTGTTGAAAGGGGGAGTTTGAACAGTGTGAGGAAGTAGAATTTGTCCTGGAAACTTTGCTCAATGTTTCTCTGAGATTCCATTTTTCATGTTGAGGAAGGAGGAGCTGATGGTACTGTCAAATCTCATTGGAAGGTAGTAGTTTTGTATATAGACTACCATTTCGAAAATTGGGTATTGTCTGCTGTTAAAATTCAAGTATTACAATGCTTTGTGCCCTAACACCACTTAGTGCATCATGAGTTGTACGTGCTTTGCTATCAGTATTGCAGTGCGACTTATCATAGTTCACAAAATTTAAATACATGCGTAGACCTCTGTCCTAGTCTAGAAGTTTAAGGTTATTGGTGTAATTGTATGCTCTAAATGCAGGATGAATCTCAGTTAATGAGAAGAGAAATCTAATAATTTCATCAGGGTTATGCTTTTCGCTTGACTGTTCAGTGTGCTGCGTTATCTGAAGTTTTTGGTGGTTCTTTTACAGACAGGAATTTGCCTGATGCCCATGCTAACCTTGGATCGTGGGGGGATGGCAAAGGTGAAGATGAGCTGTCACCTGAGGAAATACAAATGGTAAGTATACTTTTTGTCTGTTGTCCAGTTGGTTATACCTTCTGCTCTATCCATGTGTGTTAAGGAAAGGTAAATTCACCCTTTTTTTTTTTTTTTTTTTTCCCCCAACTTTCTCTCTTTGCAGAACAAGGGGCGCCTTTTGCGCCTGGCTTCCTCGTTCTTCTGATAGTAGCTAGTATTTCAGATTGCTACAGAGTACTTAAAAGCAGATTTCTATGCAGCCATGATATTAGTGCCAACTATTTTTCAGCTGTTAGAACTGTCCTTTAAAATTAATACTGTTTTTTAAATTGCAATTATGAATTACTTTTTTTAGTCAGCGCATATTAGAAGTCAAGGCAACATCAGAAAAGCATCACACTTCTGAAGAAGAAAGATTTTTGTGACTTGTCATCTTTGACTTTAACTGTTCCTAGAATGCAGCTTAAATAGTTATATTTCATTTTATTCCTCTTTATTTTTTTTATCAGATGGATTTATTAGAAGGAATAGCTGCAGACTTTCCTTCACAACAGTTATCTCATGAATGCTACCTTTTCTGTATCTCTCCAGCTATCACCACTGTCTTGTGCATTGTTCAATCCAATTCTGCTTATAAATGAACTGTTAAATTAGATTAATCACTGAAAATTTAGGCGCAGTATTATTAAGCCCTTTATTGTAGGATTCCAGAGCATCAGGAGGAGACAAGCATCAGAGGTGATAGCTCTGAAATGGTTTACTGATAACTGACTACAAAACTAGAAAGGTTGCTTTTTGTAGGTCTCCCTCATGCTGTATTAAGTTTTAAACATGTTATATCCCTTGCCGTGGTACTTTGTGACGGCATACATTTCTTTTTCATGGAATCCTTTAATCCTTTTTAGAGTAAGTCTCCAGGTACCGCACAATTTAACTGAGTTGTCTTTGTCTGTGAGTTTTGCTCTAACCATCTGCAGATGGTGATTTTACCCACATAAGATTTGAATTTTTTTCCTGGATTAAGTTCTGTCTATTGTCTTGTGAGGTGGAATAATTCTGCCCTAAGAAATAGAAAAAAATAGATTCATAGTTTAATACTTTTTTTAAGAGTTCTAGATTCTTAAACCTCCAGTCCTAAACTAGTTAGTGTCTGGCATGCTGCCAGCTGTTTCTGAGGGAGAACCATTGGACACTTTTAGAAAATCCATTATTCTTTGCCCTTTCAAAGGCTATCCTGTGGGTGGGGGGGGGGGGGGTGTTTTTTTTTTTGTTTTTTTGTTGGTTGGTTGGTTGGTTTTTGTACTGCTTGTTTTACACTGACTCACTTCTGTTGTGCTTTCAGGAGTTACACTTCCTGTGAAAAGTGATATAAAAATAACACTGATGCTCAAATTTAAAACAAGTATAAGACTATTATGTGTGTTTATTCCTAGCTTATGTGGTTCTGCCTGTAGGTTGCAAGAAAATATATGGTATATGACACTGCCTTGATGTCACTGCTGTGCTTAAGCCTGGAAGAATGACTTAGGCTTGAAACTTTAAACCTCAGCTTTAAATTTACCTGTCTGTTCAATAGGAAAACAGATATAAAAGAAAAGCAGCAGATGAAAATGTCAGTGGAAAAAAACCCCACTAGCTCTAGTCTCACTAGTTTCTCTAGTGAGGTTGGGAAACTAGAGCTTTTAAAAAAAAAAAAAAAAGACACCTGCTACTAGAACTGTCTCCCCGCAGAAAGCTGGTCCTGAACTGGATGGCTGATTTCCCTTTGATGTGGGGGGCTGAATCTCCTGTTGAATCCTTCTGTGGTTCTCATCTTATCCAGACCTGTTCTCTCCTGTTTTACCCCACTGTAGGATGACCACCAATAATCAGAGTTGTCTGCATCTCAGCTTCTTCTCACACTGAGTATGAGTCTGTGCTTCCGGCTCTGTTGTGAAGAAATACAGGCTTTCTTTCTACCTCTACTAAATATTAATAAGCATCAGTTCCTTCCACTATATACTTTGCAAGGAGACTACCTTTATTATGACTTAAAGAAGTGAGTCAGCATTCATGACAGATTTTCTTTTTTTTCTTTCTTCTCTATGTAGTTGTCAAGCAGAAAGTGAGCTGATTGTTTCCAGTTAATGTTCCCTGATGGAGGCAATTTTTTGTTTGGTAATTTTTTTAGGATTGGATTGGATTGCATATATTGGAGTTGCCAAACTGTGAACAGAGAGGTATATTTCTGTAATGTGTATGCTTGCGAGCAGCAGGCTGTTTGCTCTAATGTCACGGTTTTAGATTTGAAATCTTTGATGCCTAATGTATTGATGTTTACAGCTTAGCAAACCATTATGTGCTGTGGATCTGAAGTGACTCTTTTTTCAGTTTATGAATACCATAATTAGGTAATTTAAAAAGTTTTAAGGAAAAATCTTTCCCAGTGAAACTGCTCTCTTTCAGGACATTGGCCTTTATCGGTAAAAGCTGGATAACTTCCAGTCCTAACAGACACTAAAAAGAAATGACAAGTCACTGTAATGCAAATTTGGGTCCAAGGTGTAAACGTTGGTGTAAATGGAAAAAACTCAAGTATGTGCGTTGCTTTTTTTGTTGCCTTGGGATACTGTCAAATGAGATCCTTCACACTAACTGTGCAACGCTTAATGACTTTATTGTCCTTTTAGTGCAGAAATCAAAGGGTTCTTTACAAACCCTTAGGAACCCTCACAGTTTTAGATAACTGATTCACTAAAAGGACAGTTAATTATTTCTCCTCTGCATTATGTTTGCCATTACAGACAACTTAGTTTCTACCTTCTAAATGTTTGATTTGTGAAGACTGGACTAACTGCATTTAAGTTGCTCAAAAAATCCAGCAACACTCAGGAAGAAGAGGATAGGTTACAGCACAAACACTGCTATATTAGTTTTAAATTGGAATGTGTTGTGGCAAATTGTGCTTACAATCCTCAGTGATAGTTTCATGATCCTTCCTGTGGGTAAAATAATGAATTAAAACTCTATCATATGGCTACAACGGCAATTTAATTCATTATTTCACCCACAGGAGAGATTGTTACATGGTTCAAAATGGTTGCAGGCTATTCTATGATTTGCACAATAAATTTCAGTTTATAACCCTTGGTACAGGTATATTAATGTTTTTATAGTTATTGTAAGCAGATGTGCTGTGGTCAGATTGAGTGGAGAAAAAATTGTTTCTGCTGTTTGAGTTGTGAAAATGTCTGATTTTTTTTTTTTTTTTCCTGAACTCTTTTCATCTTACTTTTTGTCTTAACCAAAATCAGGTACAGTACATTTAATGATTTATCTCATGGGATAACCAAAAATACTCTGGTTATTTCTTCTAGTCATTAGATTCTGAGAAAAGTCTATGCAATTTGTCACTTTGTGCCATACTTTGGTAACAGAATATTTTACTTTCATAAAATGCAGTTACTTTAATAAGCCATAAATTGTTGAGCTATATTGATTGCTATAGTCTGTTTTATGTTCCTATCATGTAAATTCTTTTGGGACATATTGATGCATGATGTGTTCTGCGTTCTACCCTTTTGTTCAGTTGACTGTTTTATCATATCTTACTGCTTCTGAGACCAGTAATTCATCAGCCTTGATTTCAAATTGCAGAGCTTATCTAGCAATGTTGAAAAAGAAATCCATGCTAGTGGAGGGTTTTAAATTTCAAAGGGATTTTTTTAAATAATACTTTTCAAGTGGATTTGTGCTATTTGTAAGGGATTAAAAGCATTCACTGGTTTTTTTTATTGAAAATTTGCCTTCTAAATTGGTTATCATATCAGTTTTACTAAGACTCCTTAAAGTGTAGAATTGTTAGTGCTGAATATTTGTGCAGAAATAGTTATTCTTATAGTAGTCAGAAAAATGATTACAGCTCGACTGCCCCACTTAGTTAAAGGCCATCCAGTCGCCTGGGTGCTGAACCTCATGGATGTGTTTCATTGCTCTCTGCCTTAGCCTGGCTCTGATGCGACTCCAGTAAAATCGGAGACTTACAGTGGTGAAGCTAAAGGAGTGCAGTGATAAAACACCTTTAACCATCTGCTGTTTTGAAGTAAACATCACTGTATTCGAAGATTAAATTCCAACAAATGCTCTGCTCTGTAGAAAGAAAGGACACAGACAGTAGTGATAATGCCATTTGAATGTATCACAGCGCTGGTACTTTTTTATTAAGCAGAGGCATTAACTCCTTAGGCGGAAACAAGTGGAGCATAGAGGAGCCGTGCAGAGCGTTTCCTTCCCTGGGGGCTTCACCCCAGAGCGAACGTTACTCCTCTGCTGCGGTCTGGGACTTTCTAACCAAGAAAAGAAAGCTTTTCTTGCCAGCCAGGTAGCTAGTGAACCTCTAGTACAAAAAAAAATGTATATATTTTAAAAGAAATAAAAATCATTTTTCATTATTCTCCATGAGAAAAAAAAAAAAAACTGTCACTTCCCACTCACTTCTGCCAGGTTAAACCCACAAATTTCTGATTTTTAACATGGTAAGCATTCCCCCTAGGTCAGGCAGCTTGACGTTTAATTTGCTGTTGGCAAAAAGCCAGGTGCTGCTTCTGTAAGATCCTGATGGGCCTGAAGCGAGATGAAAAAATATTACAGCCACAAAAGGTGGGGTGCGGTGGTGATGGTGGGCGCAGGAGCGCAGGCGCCGGCCGGGGCGGGTGCCCGGCCGCCT